GGAGAGAAGGTTGTTGGAGCGCGAAACCTTCTCTCCGCGGCAAAAGCTCCCTCGGCAGCAAATCGTCCCTGGCGGCCGCATATTACTCGCGTCGCTCACAGAAAAAATAACGCCGACGCCCAACAAGACTGCAAAAGAGGCTAACAAGAGGGGTCCTTCTCTCATCGCCCCTCTCACACCCCAGTTCCCGCGGACCTGCTCAGATTTCCCCACATTCACACCCTCCTGGTACCGACGGGAACCTATTCACCACCCAGGTCTGGTTACCAGGAGATCTAACAAATAAATACCTGTAAGTAGGTCACAACAGAAAACATCGTGTAGACAAAGCCTTGTCATAACAACGGACACCTTTTCTTGTTTAGACCACCTGCTGTGCAAAGTGATGAGAGGGTTTTATAACAATTTTTTACAACAATTTCTCCATACTTTCGTCGTTTAGAAGATCACCAAAAAACTGCATTTCTACTAAGATCACAAAACCCACGTAATTATGCAGAATGTGAGACAATTCATTATCCACTGCCTTCAAACAAGAAGTCGAACCCCATAATAGCTAGCGTAGTAGTAGAAGTAGAAGTTTTTTCCAGACAGTTGTTACCTGTCTCCTGTTACTGTATTGCAATGAGTATTATACTCAATTGTAAAAGCAATTAGCCTTCGGGCATGATTTTGCGAATAAAGTTTCTATATAACGGGTGGCAGAGTGACAGAGGGTTTCGGGTTAAATTCCCACAATAGCGCCATGAACAGTTTATATATAGAACTTTATTGCACGACAATTGCACATGGTACAATGTATGGCAAACTACATAAAGAGAGTAACAAACAATAAAATACATGCGCTTGTTGGATAAGACCTAATGTCGAATAAAACCTAACATATCTTAATTATTAAACAGTAAGGGCTAGCACTTTGACAAAGTGTTACAATCGAGTGGGCTAATCACAAGTTTCGGTATTTTTTCTAATAACAAAGCCTTCCTTTTATATAAGATCTTCGTATAAGAGTCTTATACAAAGAGTTGAATAGGAAAGTGAAATTCCAAGGACATTAAAATTCATTGACCATTGGTCAAACGTCATGCAAGCGTGAAGAGGCGCCTCCTGGCGACAGGCTAACGTCTGTGCATGTGTTTTCAGGCCTGGTGGCTGCCGTGCCGCGCGTGAAGAGGCAGCTCGACATTCCCGGCGTTCCCGGGGCTCCTGCCGTTCGCGCCAGACCAACAGCGCCCCCTGTGGACAATGACCTGAAGGCCGGTATTGCAGCCGCTTTCGGAGGTAAACTGGTTTGGGGCAATATGAACCAGTGTTACAAGAACTGTATATTTTGTGCATTTGGTAAAACCTTGATTTAGAAAAGGCGCCGCTTGTCTGACATTTTTCTGTTCCCCCACAGACGCTGCAGCTTTAGAGCACTCCGCAGCTGCCAGTTTGTAAGTACATGTACTCTGTATAAACGGATATCGACATGTTAACGGATAACGATATCGACATGTTATTTAACGATAAGAAAACCATGTATATGTACTTCCCATGTCGCCGCTTCCGCCTGCATGGCCCACCTCCTCAACTGAAGTTGTACGGCTCCACATTAGCATATGTTTCAACTGCCAATTATCTTGGGTATTACATTACCCCTGACCTGTCCGATGATTCAGCCATCCGGTGCCAGGTTAGAAGTTTTTATTCCAGAGCGAACTTGCTACTTCGGCGGTTCCGCTACAGTTCAGTTGAGGTGAAACGGATTCTTTTTAATAGTTATTGCACTCCTACGTACTGCTCCCAGATATGGGCAGATTATAGTGTGGGCATGATATCTAGATTGCGAGTGGCGTACCACAGCGCCTTGAAGCTGTTACTCTCTGTAAGCAGAAGCACTAGCAACAGCCAGTTATTTGCCAACCTCGGAATCTACACTTTTGACGCTAGACGAAGGAAACAATTGTATTCTTTTGTCACTCGGCTACTTCACAGTGACAATACGATCATCTCTACGCTAGTTCATTCTGACGGCTACTACCTCAGCTCATTCTGGAGGCATTACATTAACCTAGTTTTTAAGTAGTTTATTTTCTTTAGGTATAGCTAGATTATCGAGGTTTTATTTATTGTGTTTGTTACAACGCCTCCATTTATTTTTGTCTGTCTGTTCGCAATGTGATATGGGCCAGGGGCCTGAATTAAAGAATAAATAAACCGAAGCAGACGTCTGGGTACACTTGGTATTGTCATATCCTTTCCATTAATGCGAATATAAGAAATGTTAATCAGTGATGTAAGGCCATGTCTAAGAAAACTTAATAAGGAATAATAAAAAAAAGGAAATTTGTATTTGCTATTGAATAAAAGAGACTTCATTGAGGCTTATCGTAAGAAAGACCTTGGATCTGGTAAAATCTTGCGTTGTAATGAACAGTTAAACATGCAGGCGTGTTTAAATATGCAAGTTAAACATGGGTTGCATGAAACTGTCCTTCCGCAGCATCAACAGGCAGCCGAGCGACTCGGCGATCCTCCAGGCGCTGAAGGGCGAGATCGAGATCACGGAAATCTCCGGGGAGGACTTCAAGAAGGTTCCCGGCATCGTGCTCACGCAGCTCGTGGTAAGCTTTGCTTGTTTGTTTGTTTGTTTGTTTGTTTAGGATCTCCATTAGTCTGAATTCCGTAGTGGAGTCCGTAGTGAATAATCAGATAAGTATTTTGGACCATCGCACACCGATGCATGTCCCTTACTCTTTTCGCCATGTGATCTGTATCTGTAACACACCAGCTCAAGCTGATCGAGCTGCCAACTCATTACGGCAGCTACGGCAGTCTGTGGGACTGAAAAGTTCACGGAGAATTCTGGGTAAAGGCGTGAAGTCTGCCATCTCTGATTGCCATGTTTGTTTGTTTGTTTGTTTGTTGTCTCCAGGATGCGGAGTTTGAGAAGATCACGCCTGCGCAGATCGTGGCCTGGCTGAAGAACCCGAACAACGGCTACAACTTCGAGCAGATGGACGAGCTGTCAACCCGCGTCTCGTCCGAAAAGTTCGGGGAGGTGCTGGTCAGAATGAAGACCGCGGCTGAGGTAAATAAACAAACAAGCAAACAAACAAACAAACAAACAAGCAAGCAAACAAGTAAGCATGCCACAGAGCTTCACTGACACTGATTTAGACTCTAATGATGCGTGGATTCCAAAAAGGACAAACCTGTAAAGACTGAAAGACCCGAAGACTAACGGTTCACAATGAAGATGGATCTTTCATATCTGTTGATAAGTGCACTTTTACTCTTCTAGGAAGGTACTTTTCATTAGACAACTAGAAGGGTAGTTGAGGAAATGTGAAGTCTGCTACCTCTGACTGCTCTCTGTTTCCCAGTATGGGTAAGGGGGTGAAGTCTGCCATCTCTAACTGCCTTGTGTGTGTGGGTAAGGGGGTGAAGTCTGCCATCTCTGATTGCCCTGTGTGTGTGGGTAAGGGGGTGAAGTTTGCCATCTCTGACTGCCCTGTGTGTGTGGGTAAGGGGGTGAAGTTTGCCATCTCTGACTGCCCTGTGTGTGTGGGTAAGGGGGTGAAGTCTGCTATCTCTGACTGCCTTGTGTGTGTGGGTAAGGGGGTGAAGTCTGCCATCTCTGACTGCCCTGTGTGTGTGGGTAAGGGGGTGAAGTCTGCTATCTCTGACTGCCCAGTGTTCCCAGTATCGGTAAGGGGGTGAAGTCTGCCATCTCTGACTGCCTTGTGTGTGGTGGTAAGGGGGTGAAGTCTGCTATCTCTGACTGCCCAGTGTTCCCAGTATCGGTAAGGGGGTGAAGTCTGCTATCTCTGACTGCCTTGTGTGTGTGGGTAAGGGGATGAAGTCTGCCATCTCTAACTGCCTTGTGTATGTGGGTAAGGGGGTGAAGTCTGCCATCTCTGACTGCCCTGTGTGTGTGTGGGTAAGGGGGTGAAGTCTGCCATCTCTGACTTCCCTGTTCCCCTCTAGTCTGGAGGCCCAGACGCCCGGCCCAACCCTGGGATCAGCGCGGATGTTCAGGATTTCCTGGTGCGGAAGTTTGTGGAAGCGAACGTGAACGACACCTGTGCCGAGATGGCT